ATTTATTTAGCTATACATGTTGGGAAACTTAGAAATAGATGAATTCATGATTAAAGTACAAGAATTAATGATATAAAGGAAGATCAAACTTGTGATAGATGACAATTCTGGGAGCTTGTTGCTAATCTTGACTTAATCTTGAATGAGAAGGTGATTAATTGATGATTTGGAGGAGAAGAATGAAGAGAAGAGAGAGGAAATGTTTCTGGGATGAGTAGTGAGAGAATAGTTCGAGCTTATGTGTGGAGGAAGAAGGATTAAGGCTATATAATGATAAGGTGATTAATGATTTAGTGCTGAAATTTACGGAATGGACAAGTTTATATAAAACACAGTGCAGTATTGTTTCAACAATTTGAATCAGCGCAGCGGGCCGGGGCAGTGACATTGTTAATCTTGCAGGTTGCTGGATTGATTCTAGGCTCCGTATCCATTCTTTATTTTGTTTTCTTCCTCTTCTCGTCACGAACAGAAGTAAAAATGAACCCACTGATTATTAACCCATGTGGGGTTTCTTCTTTTCTTCATTTTTCTCTATTTTTCTTCTCAAAGACTTCAGGAAATTTCTCTTTTATTAACCTTCAACTTAGAAATTTTATTTTCTCCTTTCCTTTACGCACATATGTATCCAATAGCATCAAAAGTAGCTGAAAATATAAAATACACGCATAGGACTGCACTAATACAAACTAACGACAAATAATAAATACTAGTCTTTTACCCGTGCGTTGCACGGGATGACGAATTAACAAATTATCTCGAAACTGACCAATAGTTCCAAGGCTGGTTCAAGTGCACATAAATTATGTTAATTTGTTAATTTTATTTCAAATTGACAATCTTAAACCTGAGCAAGCATCAACCGCTCTAAAATCCCTAGCATACTCCACATTGGCATCCAAAGTGGAAAAACTCCACATATACCCCAATTTCAAATTATCTCTCAAGAAACTTAGAAAGTAAATAGGTTGACAGAAGATCCATTAAAACTTGGTCCAAGTATTTCTATTTAAAAGACTTACTCATAGCATATTTGCAAGTGTCTAAAGTTCTACACATAAGTATTACAAATTTACAATTGATTATGCATGCATATTTTGCGGTCCCTAGAAATAACATCTGGTAGAGAAATTTCATATTGCACAGTATCACATAACTATGAAGAGCATATATAAAAGTGAATACAAAATTGATAACAATAATGTCATTAACTTTCTAAGTAATAAAAGAAAATGCAAGAATGCAAAAAAAAATGTCTCCATAAAGTACCTGAGCATAGTTATGTGAACATTGCATCTTTTTAAATTTGCATGAAAAACCTCTGATGAATTTCATATAGTGACATGATGAATACTTTACTCAAAGTTGCAGCCTACTAATCTAATGGGTAACTCTTCTCTTTTGAACTGATAGAAGCAAAAAGAGCTCTGCTCTCTTTTAGAATACATTTGAGCATACATAAATTACAAAAAAGTAGCCAACAAAGAACCTTTTGAGTATACAAATTACCCTGAAAAAGGTGGGAGGAGGTGTGACTAAATAGCGTCATCCTTGACATGATAAGAAGTAAGAACTAAAGAAATAGTTAAGAACCAAAGAAAAATTTACTTCTCAATTTCCGTTTCAATTAACATGGTCTGACATACTACATAAAGCTTTGGAAAATTCATTATTTAACATAGTGACCTGCAATAACTTAAATCATATGATACATGCATCCAAACGAAAGGGCTTCCTTTCCTAACACATACTCTCTTTGTTACATTTATAATGTCTGATGCGAGAAGAAGATGAAAAGCATGAAGTTCCTGTAAGAGAGAAACACAACATACATTGGAGTATTAAATATTTTATTTGTACTAATAAAAAGAGTTGTGGTGTTCTAAAGAAAATAACGTTGAAATATCAAATGCAATATTTAATAATAATGAAGGAGCTCATCATTTATGATAATTACTCATTTATGGCGACTTAATGTGGACTCGCTCTAAACCTTCGGAGATGAACTTTGTTGCTCGTGCCAAGCCATTAGTCTGCAAGGATAATTTGATACTTTCTAGGTGGAGTTTTCCGATTGTACCTGTAACACCAAAAGTAGGTAATATATCAAAATTATGATAAGATTTGTAATAAATAAAAAATGTATTACCAAATAAGCCATTTTCTGGGGTATTTTCTTCAAATATGGGAAAAGCAAACGTGCAATGCAAAATAAAGGGAATCTGTTTAGGGTTTATGAGATTACGTGATTCGGAAAGTGGCAATGCACCATCACCCATAGAATTTTGAAAGAGCTCTTAGTTTCTATCCAAAAAATCGAAAGAGCTCTCAAGCTGTCAACCCGTAAAGAAAAATTAAAAAATGCCATTTGGAATAGGCAATCCTGAAAGAGGGCAAAAAGATAGGTAAAGGGTGGGGGGCATGTATAAAATAAAATCTCATTTTTCTTTTAAGTGTTGTAATTTTTTTATTTGTATCAAAGTTCATAACTTTCTATGAGTTTTTTCATATGACGCCAATATTGCATATATGAATTTCAACTTTTGTTGGTCTCAAAACCTCCTACAGTTAAAACTTCAATTTTTTAAAACTTTATATATGTAATTATTTTGGTGTCATATGAGATGTTATTTATACATGGCCTCCACCTTTTTCTTATTCTTTGTTCATTCAGAATAGCGGTTCCCAAATAGCTTCTATTTGTTCTTAATATTTTGTAGTATTTCATTCGGATTACAACTTTCCAAAAACCCGTATCTTCATGCCCTAAACCGTAGTCCGTGTTATGGCATAGAAGTTTCAAAACCTCCGTATATTTAGAATTTCCTCCATTTCTATCCTCCATGGCATATTAAGAATTTTTGTAAAACGTTTTAGGAGGTACAAACCCTAGAGAAACGTACTCATTAATTTCTCATTCAACTTGTTTACCTTTAAAGAATAAGGAGTGTACCTTTTTGCCCGATGGACACACCTTCAATGAATTGGCCAAACTGAAAATGCACCGGACAACACCTTTTCTGTGGTGTAAAATGAAATCTCTGCACCATTTACAAAATAGAAGAAACACAAAGCAGATCAACAAAGTTTTCCCAAATATAGGTACTGTACATATGGTCAAGTGCAATAAACATCAATAAGCTGAAATAGCCATTTGAACAAATTACAAAAAGGAAGAAAGTTTATAGAACACATGCTCAGTAGAGACAAACACAAACAACACATCTCATTTTATAAACGCCAATTCTAATAACTCAATAACTTATGTTAGCACACATTAGTAGATTAATTTTTTTTTTCAAAAGATATGCTCGTACTAATTTCGCTACATATTGAAAATGTTTGTTTGTCAATTTATAGTTTCATTCATACCTAAATAAATACACAACGGATAAAAAGAGAAATCAATACGACTTCACATGAGATGTGATGGAAATAAACATCAGTAAGAGAACTGAATTAACCTTGATGGAGAAAGCATGCAGGAGTATCCGGAGCAAATGTGTGCGAGATTATCCTTGCTTTGCAAAGGTGAAGAAGAGGTCGAAAGAGAGCTATAATTGAGATAAATACTCACCAAGTTTGGTGTTGATGGAGTCGTTGGAGTTGAAGTCTGATAAACCCGAATTCGTTGGAAGTTAATAGAGCTATAATCGAGACTCCAAATCCGTGAGAAGTCTGGGGTTGAAGGTTTGTGCGAGTTGATGAAGGTCGTTGCAAAGTCGAAAGAATAGGCGAGTCTCATGCGAAAGGAGTGTGTATAAGCGAAAATGTGAGAGCCCTAACTCCTGCGTAGATGTATTTACGTAAATGTCCTCAAGCTTGAGCGGGAAAGGGACTTAAGTGGTTTAATATATATATATATATATATATATATATATATATATATATATATATATATATATATATATATATATACGTACAAATATACAATTTAAGTGACCAAAATTATTAACAAACTAAGCCTAAAAAGTGTGTAAAATATAAGCTCATCAATACATTACACTTTAATATGCAATGAAGATACTATATTATACTATATTGTATATTCTAAGCAATTAGGATACCGATCAAACATTTTCAGTTAAAGCGTCTTAAAATCTTCCTGATTTTTTCAATACATTAATATATTTTATTTTATTTGACCATCTAAAATCCGGAGCGACATACGTCTATACCTCCGTCCCTTAAAACAATCTGTCTTTAAAATTTTGACAAACTATATATTTTTATTGGAAATTATTATAATACAAAAATGATATGAAAATGTTCTTTGTGAAAAGTATTTCCGTAAAAGTATAAAATCTATAACCTCCATAGTATTATATTAATAAAAATCATGGTCCAAAGTCTACAAGATGACAAAGTTTTTTGTAATAGAGGTAACATTATAGTACTCCCTCCATCTCCAATTGAGTTGTAAAATTGATTTTTTTTTGGGTAAAACAAATTCATTTTATTCACTTAATTACGATATCAATTCTTAATTAAATTCTAAATTGGATTTTGCAACTATATAGATATTTTATTGTAGTATCTGAATATGTAAACTTTAATTATTAAAATTGAATTAATTATCAATAAGAAGACTTTAACTTTGACATTGATTGACTAAAAATGTTGATTTTGCAAAACAATTTGAGACGGAGGTAGTATACTATTAGGATTTTTAACTTACTAAATGGCATTTTCTATTTTCTTACAGTTAGATTAAATCAATAATCCTATAATAAATTAATAACATTATAATAAGGTTAATTACACAATCACTCATTGAAAATACATGTACTGAGGATACCGAGGACTAAACAACCAAGCATGTACATCGCAATTTATATCCTACACCGGGTGTACAGGTACACCCGGTTTTTTTAATAACAATGAAATTTAAGGCCTTCAATATTACTCTTCTCAAACGTGCGTAGGTTATTCTCAGCCCTTTTTTTCGCCGATCATCTTCTTCGGGTAATCTGCTGCCATCGTTCAAAGTTCAGGGGAGCCATCATCGTTGCTTACGTGACCATTGACGCCATCAAAAATTGAGATATTGCCGCCGCCGTTGATTATGAAGATCGCACGCACCTGAGATCATTGTTATTGGTTGTTGCTGCGAGAAGGGGAAGATTGGGAGATGATTGTTGAGCCGGTGATTGCTGATTTCTGGATCCGTGACAGGCTGGTGGTCGGAGACTGAGTTCGAGATGTTGCCGATTGAGCTTCTAATTTTCGAAGACAAAGGGAATCTACTTCATTGCTGGGGAATCCTTGCTGCGATTAATCTCAAATGAGTTTTATATTAAACTCAAATGAGTATACGGTTAAAAGGAATGAAAATACACAAAAGGTGTTTTGAATTTTTAGATACTCATTTTGTATGTTATATATGCTCATCAGTAACATTGCTATATCAATGTTGTTATGCTTATTTTAAAATGTTATATCAATGCAAGTTGCTTTGTTGATGGTTATGTTTAGTGCAAGTTGCTTTGTTGATGGTTGGCTATTTGCGCAGCAGAAGGACCAGGCCAAGGTGACAGCTTTAGGAGCTCAGGTTTGGCGATTACCAAAGCCTGGATGGTGTAAAATGAATGTGGATGCAGCGAGGGACCATACGGGCAGCTGGTTCGGGTGGGCTGTTCACAACAGCAGCGGGGATTTTGTTGGGGGAGGCATTAAAAGTGGGCGGGGCAGCTGCTCTTCTCTTGAAGCTGATTTGCTAAGCATTCGGGAGGCCTTGAGTTGGATTAAAGACCAGGGCTGGGACTTCGTGGAGGTGGAATCTGATGCGTTGCTTGCTATTTCTGAAATTCAAAACGGTTCCAGTTTGTCTGCAATTGGTATTATAATTGAGGATATTAGACTTATTAGTAAAGGTTTTGCTAATATTTCTTTCTATTTTGTTAAACGATCAGCGAACATAGTGGCTCATGAGTTGGCTAGAGCAGCTAGTTCTATGTCTGATTGTCAGTTTTGGATTGGTATTTCCCCTTCTTGTATTGTTGAAGCTTTGTCCTTTGATCTGATTAATGCAAGTTGAGTTGATTTCCTTTAAAATAAAATGTTATATCAATGCATATTTCAAAAGTACCATATTATATTAAATTCAAATAGGAGTTGATTATAAACACGTGAGCACAAATCATGATACTCGATCGCACGATTCTAGTACTCAACATCGGAGGTTTGATGCTAACTGAAAATATCTTGATGCTCAACTAACAAAACTTATAATTTTCATATCAATGCTCATTTTGTAAGTTAGGTATATGTTCATTAGGTACTGATTTTATGCTCATTTTAAAATGTATATAATGAATATTTCAAAAGTACCATAAATTCACATATTGAAATTTATAAGATTTGATTATAGATATAATTTAAGAAATTTTTATAAAAGCAAAAAAAAAATTGAATTAAAAGTTATGAAGCAGATATCACTTTGTTCAACACTAGACTCACAATACTCAACAAGATAGGTTTGATGCTCATTGAAAGTTCATAAATGTTCATTTAACAAAAATTGTGGTTTTCATCTCAAGAGAGGAGGTTTGATAGTCAATGAAAATGTCGTGATATTCAACTAACAAACTAGACAATTTTCATATTAATGCGCATTTTGTAAGTTACATTTTCTCATTTTGTACAGATTTTATACTCGTTTGTAAATTGTCATATCAATGCATATTTCAAAAGTTGCATATATATTACATTAAATTCACATATTGAAATTCATAGGAGTGGATTATAAATCTAATTTAATAAGTTGTTATAAAAAAATAAGAAAAAGAAAGTGAACTAAAAGATATGAAGCAGAGATCATGATGATAGGATCATTGTTAGGCTCTTAATACTCAGTAGAATAAGCCAGATGCTCACTACAAGTACACTAATGCTCATTTAGCGAAAACCGTGATTTTTCTCTTAAATTACAAAAATGTCACCGCTTCAAAAAATTGGACTTTTTTGTTACGGGCTGTATTACTTACTGGGTCATTGTCCTCTTTAATTGGACCGGATGTACCATGAGGGACCGTGCACCCGGATGTAAGATATAGGCGATGTATGTACGGGTGGAAGGCCCCGTACACCCGTGGCAGTTCATGAGGTTTTGAAGTGATGCTTACGGTTGCCGGTTTGACTCCTAAGATTTTCGTCATGATTACTTCACTCCCCGCCTTCACGCAACACGTGTCCTTGGGGTACGCTCCTCGCCACGTGTCTGTCGATCTGTGATTGGACCTCCCTCCAATGGTTTCTCCTATAAATACCCCCTTATGGCTTTGGATCAGAGTTTTCAAAATTGCTCTTCTTCTCTCTAGAATTGTAACACCCTGGCCCCGTAGGACCCGAGATAGTTACTCTGGACCTCCAGTACTGTCCCCACAAACCACCACAAGCCTTTCCACCGCGCACTGTCCTCACTCATGCGCGCCCTGAGAAACTTCCCAGGGGGTCACCCATCCCAAGACTACTCCCGTGCAAGCACGCTTAACTTTGGAGTTCTTAGCGGATGAGCTCCCGTAAAAGGAGATGCACCTCTGTTGGTATGAGTAGTACTATTAATCCGTTTATACTAAATCTCAAGTGTTACAAGAATGTTCTCCCTTCTCTCTACGTAGGAAACTCGTTGTCAACTCTTTCTCTGACAGAAAAACATGTATTCCTTTTCCTCTAACCTACTTCTTCTCTGATGTTCCTTTCTTTGGAACACGAAACAGGTCTTCGGGAGATCCCCAAACGCTTGTCTCAAGCCGGTGTTAATGATATGGTCCGCTAGGGCGCTAGCAATGTTGCCACGGGAGATGAAGTAGCGCATGCCCAACCTAATGTTGGGAATGATTTCGGGGATGATATTTTTTCAGCGTCGATATGATCATTTACAGGGCCAGTCCTCTAATGACGTGAAATGTCATGAGGTTCCCCTGGAAAACGCTCGGGGGGTGCGAGCACTTCATTTCAGACCATGGCCCTGTTACATCCGAGTCTAAGGCTCATGGCCAATTTCATAGTGCGGTGTAAGGAGAAGAAGTTAGATCCGAGTCTAGACCTCTTCCACTATGTTATCAAAGCCGCTCCCCATAACGCCGAAAGGTACATGAAGGTTGACTGCCACACTAGTTGGGGAACAACCGAAAAACATGTACAATTGGATCATACACGCCCAACCTATCTAACACTTCCTAATGCCCAACCCAGAACTCCCCAAACTAATCTACAAACCGGAGGTAGAGGTGCCCCACTACCTATTCCCACACGCCCTTCCACCAAATCTCCAAGAACCTCAACAAGACCAACCCGAGGACGAGCCTTATGTCGGACCCCATGATCATGAAGACATGGAAGCAGACATCCCCGAGCAAAACCAAATCCTTCCTCCACCCGATTACTTCCAACAACTACTTGATGGGTTCAACAAAGTGACCAATGAAGTTGGAAAGTATCGGGAAGAACAACAAGCAGGATTTCAAAGACTTGAGGAGCAACGGGCCGAAGACAACCGAAGGTACGAAGAAGATCAACGTAGGTTCTATGGACCTATGTACTCTTACATAGCCCATCAAGGCTCTTTTCACACTATGGCTCAACCACCCCCACCCCCATCTTGGTATGACCCCACTCAATGGGGTAACTTTGGAGGATCTAGCTCCGGGGGTGGAGGTTATGATGGCGGAGACGGCGGGGATACTCACATGGGCGACGGGAGCTTTGGAGGCGGCTTTGGCGGCAGTTTCTATGGCGGAGAAGGTGGGCACTAGGGACAGTGCTTCACATAAGTGTGGGGGAGGAGACTCATCATGGGTATGTCACTTTATTTTCACCATTTACTATGCATGAATTTCTTTTACTCTTTGTAAACACAAAAAAAAAGAAAAAATAAAAGAATAGAAATGCTAGTTAAGTTGAAAACCCAACAAAATGGGCAATCTAAGCAAAAAGGGCTTATAAAAAAATGAGTGAGTGGGGAGAATGGAAAAACAAAAAGAGATGCTAGGATGAAAACCTGAAAAGGCTCCTAGGCAAAATGAGATATATGAGAGAAATATTTGTTGTGTGCAGGAACTCATTTGATCTCTTGAGAGAAAGGGGAGAAGAAAAAGAAGAAAAAGAAGAGAAGAAGAAGAGGCAAGAAGATGGAGCAATAGAAGATCATAAAACCCAAGAAAGAATGTTGTTGTAAAAACTCATTTTTCCCTTGGTGGTCTTAGTTTCTTTCTTTCTTGAACTCTTGGAAAACTCTTAAACTGTTTGGATATTTCTATTTTACTCGAGGTCGAGTAAAGAATTAAGTGTGGGGGAGTTGATACGCTTGTAATTTCCGTGTATTTGTTTACGTTTTTAGTTAGTTTTGGTTGTTTAATATTTCGAAAATTACACACTTTTGGTGTAATAGTTTAGTTTGTTAAATTCTTGTAAATTGTTTAGATTAGGTCTATTCTGAGCTCAAGCAGGTCTACTATCACTCAAAGGACAGTTGGTGAACCCCAAAAGTGGAAGGAAGGTGCAAAATCACAAGACAAAGAATTGTTCCTGATTTTTTGGTGTATACCCGGTCGAGTATCACCTATACTCGATCGGGTATCTTGTTAAAATTTCAAATCGGATCAGATCCGGAAACAAAGGAACATGCAGGGAAGATTTTGACCACGATCGAGTGTCTATACCCGATCGGGTACACCGACATACTCGATCGGGTATAGCTCTAAATTTCACTCTAATTTCGATCGAGTATGGATCAAATTCAGCTTTCTACACATACTCGATCGAGTACATGTATATACTCGATCGAGTACCCGACCTGCACCCCAAAAAAGCCTATAAATACACCCCCTTTCCTTCACAATTATGTACCAATTCCTATATACTTCTAAGCTCAATCTAGATAAGTTCTTTCTTTATATTTTCTTCATGTTTAGTCTCCACATGAGGAGCTAAACTCTTCCATCTTGGTTTTGCTACTTTGAAGCTTAATGATTTGTAAGTTGTGAGTTATTTTCTTTAATCTTCTTCCTTGAATATTAAGTACTTCCTATTCATATTCCATATTAATATTTTGAGCATTACTTAAAGGATCAATTAGTATTGTTTCATATATTAATTATTACTAGAATCAATCGGTTAATACGCTTGTTATTAATTCGGCTCTTTCAATGGTAGTAAACTTGGATTGTTAATGCATGCTTCTCATGGTTAATAAACCGAGGGGAATTAATTATATTGATTAAACCAATAAACCGCTTGTGTTGAGGTTATCAATCTCAATCGTTTTCATCTTAAGCTTATTGCTACTATCAAGTTAATATACGTCGCTTGTTCTATATTGACTCGGTAGTAAGTTTTATTAATGAACGCATCTCGTTATTCATAACTACCCTCGATGAACTGGATATACTCCTCGATTGAGTATTCGAGAGGAAGATAGTTAAAGATATAACCGGGATCGACGAACATTTCATTAAGTGGATAAAAGCAAAACCAAGCCTCCATCTCTATTAAAGTAAACCACATAACTCGTTCATCTTTGTGTTTAAATATAATGTAAGTTCATTCACTCAATCTTAAACCCCCCCTTGTTACTAGTTTATAAAAAGAGAAGTATTCCTTTCCCTGCGGATACGAACCTTACTTCATTATACTACGTATAATTGTTGTATTGAATATTATTTTGAGTGCACACCACGACAAAGTGCACGTCAGAGCAGCACCATGTGGAAATGGAGCGGCCCGAGTCTCCCCCCACTGAGGAATCTAGCACCGAAATACAACCCTGAGCGAGACTACACCTTTAATTGG